AACAACACCGATGGCCAATTCTGGAATTAAACCTGAATTAATATAATAGTCCAGTCAGACCCCTGCCTCAAAGCCCTGCTTCTTCTTTTTTTTGGTTGTTGTTGTTGTTGTTGTTGTTTTTTATTATGTATCAATAAAATGGCTCTTCAATACTGGTGAAAATTCCAAGGTAAATATGCATAAAAATTCTCAATTTCTGTTTAAAACATAAAGTTATCAATATTAACATTTTGGAGAATTTCCAAACTAGTAAACCAAAAGGTTATACTATAGCCTTCAAGAACATAACAAAATAGCTGCATTCTAGGCATGTCAGTGCAATGGATCACCACTAGACACCCTGGAGTGGTCTATTAAAGGTAAATTGTTCATAATGAGTCATAATTGCTTATACTTTATAGATAAAACCTTACCCTCTCAAGCTCTTGGTTCTTCACAATTTGAAAAATATCTTGACAATAGTTGCAGTATTCATTAGCCAGATAGGCCATCTAGGAAGGAGATGGGAAATTATTCAGCTGTGGGTCACTTCAAGAATGAACAGATTCTTCAAGATCTTTCTGCAGCCCTCAAGGGCTGTTCTTGTAGCAACCCTGAGATGACAATCAGAACTCTTCAATTGGTCACAACAATTTTTATATCTAGGGAGGAATGCATGACCTACTAGATTATAATTTTTGTAGCTTTAATTTCATAAGTGCAGTTGCAAAGCATGTTCCATCTACTACAAAATCACTTTTCTCCCTAAATTATCAACCCCAATTTTCTCCCTCATGTTTCCCAGACCCAGGTTTTAGAAAAATTCACACAGAAGTTCACTTCTCTGTGATGGAGAGGCTCATTCTAGAAAGGAATTGCAATTCTAGAATGGAGTCTTTCTATAGAACAGGGTGGGGAACTTTTTCTGCCAAGGGCCAAATTTGGATATTTATAACATCATTCACGGGCCATACAAAATATCAGATTAAAACTTAGCTTGGCTATTATTTGATCATACATTTAATTAACACACCACCACCAATGTGAGGGTGTGTTAATTAAATTCCAAAGAGAGGTGACCCAACGGAATGTGGAAATCATCGGATAATCTCTTTGATATCACATGTGA